TCGAAATGGTACCTCACTAGTATTCACCTCACTCTGAGCCTTTATATACCCTCTGTGTCCATGTATTGTTTGTAATGGCTTGATAAAGCTCCTGGAGAGCGAAACGTTGCCACAATAAATGTCACATTAGTTGCACTTGTGTCCTTTTACTTTACTTACTGACGTTCTTCAATAGAACATTTGAGGCAGTTGACAGTGATAAGGAATATGATATTGTTTATTTGGATTTCAGTACAGCCTTCGATAGAGTACCTCACAAGAGACTCTTAAGAAAAGTGGCAACTCATGGTATAGGAGGTAAACTTCTAGCATGGATTGAGGCATGGCTTACCAATAGAAAGCAGAGAGTTACCATTAATGGAGTGAAATCTGAATGGGGATTAGTCACTAGTGGCGTTCCACAAGGATCAGTTTTAGGCCCTCTCTTGTTCATAATTTACATTAATGACCTTGATGAAGGGATTACGAGTGACATGAGTAAATTTGCTGATGATACAAAGTTAGGCCGTATAATTCACTCTGAGGAGGATATCAATGAACTCCAGGACGATTTGGACAAATTAATGTCTTGGTCTGAAAATGGCAGATGAAGTTCAATGTGGATAAGTGTAAGGTACTTGCCCTTGGTAATGAAAATAACCCTCGAAGCTATAATCTAGGTGAAGTAGAGCTTGATCATACAGAATGTGAAAAAGACTTGGGAGTCATGGTAAGCAGAAATCTAAAGCCAAGACAGCAGTGCCTTAGTGTGCGCAACAAGGCCAACAGATTACTTGGATTTATCTCAAGAAGTATAAGTAATAGAAGTCCAAAAGTTATTTTACAGCTCTATACATCACTAGTGAGGCCTCATTTAGATTATGCTGCTCAGTTTTGGTTCCCTTACTACAGGATGGATATAGACTCATTAGAGAACATACAGAGAAGAATGACTAAAATGATTTACTGTGTAAGGAACCTCCCGTATGAAGATAGACTCAAAGCCTTAAATCTCCACTCTCTGGAGAGGCGTAGAAAGAGGGGAGATATCATTGAAGTGTATAAGTGAATGATGGGCATAAACAAGGGAAATATTAATAAAGTACTGAGGGTGTCGAACCAGGTAAGAACCAGGAATAATGGATTTAAGTTGGATAAATTTAGATTTAGAAAGGACATAGGTAAGTACTGGTTTTCTAACAGAGTTGTAGATGCGTGGAACAGTCTTCCCAGTGGGGTGATAGAGGCTAGGACCTTGGGTAGCTTTAAGAAGAGACTGGACAAATATATGAGTGGGAGGGGCTGGGTTTGATTGGTGTCATTGGGTATGGGAGTTATTTCTAGGGAAGCTTTAGGTAGTAAGTAAGTAAGTAAGTTTATTCAGGTATACACACAGTTACATAGAATTATCATACATACCAGCATATGTGTAGAGAACCTAGGATAACCCAAAAAAGTCAGACAGAGTGACTTATTTCCATTGGGGTCCTTTGATAAGGACCTGCCTCGCATGGGCCAGTAGGCCTTCTGCAGTGTTCCTCCATTCTTATGTTCTTATGTTCTTATGTTCACCCAATGGTGTAGGGAGGCAAAAACTAGGTGTACTAGAGAATGGAAAAGGTACAGAAGACAGAGAACTCAGGAAAATAAAGAGATTAGCCGAAGAGTCAGAAACGAATATGCACAGATAAGAAGGGAGGCTCAGCGGCAATACGAAAATGACATAGCATCGAAAGTCAAGACTGACCCGAAGCTGTTGTACAGCCACATCAGGAGGAAAACAACAGTCAAGGACCAGGTAATCAGACTGAGGAAGGGTGATGGGGAATTCACAAGAAACGACCGGGAGGTATGTCAGGAGCTCAACACAAGATTTAAAGAAGTATTTACAGTGGAAACCAGTAGGACTCCAGGAAATCAGAGCAGGGGGGTGCACCAGCAAGTGCTGGATGAGGTACATATAACCAAGGAGGAGGTGAAGAAGCTGCTATGCGAACTTGACACCTCAAAGGCGGTGGGACCAGACATCTCTCCGTGGGTCCTTAAAGAGGGAGCAGAGATATTGTGTGTACCGTTAACAAAGATCTTCAACACATCATTTGAAACTGGGCAACTCCCCGAGGTATGGAAGATGGCAAATGTAGTCTCAATTTTTAAAAAGGGAGACAGACATGAGGCACTAAACTACAGACCTGTATCACTAACGTGTATAGTATGCAAGGTCATGGAGAAGATCATCAGGAGGAGAGTGGTGGAGCACCTGGAAAGAAACAAGTGTATAATTGACAACCAGCATGGTTTCAGGGAGGGAAAATCCTGTGTCACAAACCTACTAGAGTTTTATGACAAGGTGACAGAAGTAAGACAAGAGAGAGAGGGGTGGATCGACTGCATTTTTTTGGACTGCAAGAAGGCCTTCGACACAGTTCCTCACAAGAGGTTCCTGCAAAAGCTAGAGGATCAGGCACACATAACAGGAAAGGCACTGCAATGGATCAGAGAATACCTGACAGGGAGGCAACAACGAGTCATGGTACGTGACGAGGTGTCAGAGTGGGCGCCTGTGACAAGCGGGGTTCCACAGGGGTCAGTCCTAGGACCTGTGTTGTTCTTGGTATATGTGAATGACATAACGGAAGGGATAGACTCAGAAGTGTCCTTGTTTGCGGACGATGTGAAGTTATTGAGAAGAATCAAATCGGATGAGGATCAGGCAGGACTACAAAGAGACCTGGACAGGCTACAAGCCTGGTCCAGCAACTGGCTCCTTGAGTTTAACCCTGCCAAATGCAAAGTCATGAAGATTGGGGAAGGGCAAAGAAGACCGCAGACACAATATAGTTTAGACGGCCAAAGTCTGCAAACCTCACTCAAGGAAAAAGATCTGGGGGTGAGTATAACACCGAGCATATCTCCCGAGGCGCACATCAATCAGATAACTGCTGCAGCATACGGGCGCCTGGCAAACCTACGGATAGCGTTCCGATACCTCAGTAAGGATTCGTTCAAGACTCTGTATACCATTTACGTCAGGCCCATACTGGAATGCAGCACCAGTTTGGAATCCACACCTAGTCAAGCACGTCAAGAAATTAGAGAAAGTGCAAAGGTTTGCAACAAGACTAGTCCCAGAGCTACGGGGGTTGTCCTACGAAGAAAGGTTGAGGGAAATCGGCCTGACGACACTGGAGGCCAGGAGGGTCAGGGGAGACATGATAACGACATATAAAATTACTGCGCGGAATAGACGAGGTGGACAAAGACGGGATGTTCCAGAGATGGGACACAGACACAAGAGGTCACAATTGGAAGTTGAAGACTCAGATGAATCAAAGGGATGTTAGGAAGTATTTCTTCAGTCAGAGAGTAGTCAAGCCGTGGAATAGCCTAGAAAGTGAAGTAGTGGAGGCGGGAACCATACATAGTTTTAAGGCGAGGTATGATAAAGCTCATGGAGCAGGGAGAGAGAGGACCTAGTAGCAATCAGTGAAGAGGCGGGGCCAGGAGCTATGAATCGACCCCTGCAACCACAAATAGGTGAGTACAAATAGGTGAGTACACACACACACACAGTAAGGCCACCCCTGTAATTTCGTTATCAACTATAACAATTCTTGCATAAAGTAAGATTTATATGGGGATTATGTAAGGTTAATACTGACTACGATCCACGTGAACGTTGTAGATGAAGGTCTACCCACACTACTCTCTTCAGTACGATCCACGTGAACGTTGTAGATGAAGGTCTACCCACACTACTCTCTTCAGTACGATCCACGTGAACGTTGTAGATGAAGGTCTACCCACACTACTCACTTCAGTACGATCCACGTGAACGTTGTAGATGAAGGTTTTACCCACACTACTCTCTTCAGTACGATCCACGTGAACGTGTAGATGAAGGTCTACCCACACTACTCACTTCAGTACGATCCACGTGAACGTTGTAGATGAAGGTCTACCCACACTACTCTCTTCAGTACGATCCACGTGAACGTTGTAGATGAAGGTCTACCCACACTACTCACTTCAGTACGATCCACGTGAACGTTGTAGATGAAGGTCTACCCACACTACTCTCTTCAGTACGATCCACGTGAACGTTGTAGATGAAGGTCTACCCACACTACTCTCTTCAGTACGATCCACGTGAACGTTGTAGATGAAGGTCTACCCACACTACTCTCTTCAGTACGATCCACGTGAACGTTGTAGATGAAGTCTACCCACACTACTCTCTTCAGTACGATCCACGTGAACGTTTGTAGATGAAGGTCTACCCACACTACTCTCTTCAGTACGATCCACGTGAACGTTGTAGATGAAGGTCTACCCACACTACTCACTTCAGAAAAGATGTAAACTTACCCAGAAAGTCTTAAATGTAGCTCTTATGAGGTGTTTACACACCTCTGGGACCCAACCAGTAAGTTACGTTTAGTGAAGACCATGAAGCATTTCTAAAGATTATAAAGCGTCTTATGAAGACCATGAAGCATTTCTAAAGTTCAAGTTACATTTCCTCAAGACCAGGTAGCATTTCCTCAAGACCAGGTAGCATTTCCTCAAGACCAGGTAGCATTTCCTCAAGACCAGGTAGCATTTCCTCAAGACCAGGTAGCATTTCCTCAAGACCAGGTAGCATTTCCTCAAGACCAGGTAGCATTTCCTCAAGACCAGGTAGCATTTCCTCAAGACCAGGTAGCATTTCCTCAAGACCAGGTATGTGAGGAGCCACAGATGAAAGAGTGAAGGAGGGTCTGGTGTTTACCAAACACTGCCACCTTGAGAGATTCCATACTCCAGGAGACAAACACCCCTAAAAACATAGCTAAAACAAATTAAAACAAACATACTCTCAATCTAACAACCGTACTCTCATCCTAACAAATATTATCTCACTCTAACAAGCATAATATTAACCACAAACTAAAAAAAATATCACGTCCACCACCCCTCACCAAAAGGAATAAAATCACAGAAAAGTTAAAACATGAAGGAAGGAGCGAGGATGAACATACCTGGACGTGGGCTGAGTGTGGTCAGGAGACACAGTAGAGGAAAGAGGGTAGCCATCATGGCCGTGGTAATGGTGGACTCTCTCAGTGCTTCTTATACTGCTCAAGTATTCTCCCTTCTGCTCGTGTGCTGGCAGCAGGAATACCCTCAGGTACCGCTAGCGGCACCTGTAGTCAGCTGGCTGAGTAGTGGCATTACTAGTACTAGTACAATCCAGTAGCCACGGAAATATCCCTGCCCATCCCGGCTCCGCCTGAAACAAAATAAAAAATGTCTAGAATAAGTGAATCGAGGTGTGCGAGGCAGTGCAAGTAGCCTTCAATTATTATCGCTGTCTCCAACTTATCACGGCCTCAGGTGCTCAAATTTCAATAGCAATTTCACAATCAAATTATAATAAAGGAAGTAAATACACGACCTTCAACAGTGCTCACACAGCAGGAAGCAAAGTCTTTAATATCTTCCAGTTAAGACTGTTATGAGAGCCCAGCTGAGTACACGGGGCACACACAACCTGTCTTGTGCAATACTAACACACAAAAACAAGACTTCTTGAAGAAGTTTCTCTCTCAACCCATGACCAACATATTTCCTTACCGCACAACATATTACGATTGATAATTCTTATTCTCTATTATTATTATTATTATCATTATTATTATTCTGTGAGTAGAGAAGGGTATGGAGACAATACACGCAGTCTGCCAGCTTGTACTGGATGTCTAGTACCTGATAACATTACCTCTCACGATATTATTAATGCAGTCTAAAGCAAAATATCTGAAGTGCTGACAACTTGAAGCTGGCTCCCAGGTAATGAGAAGCTTGCTCCCAGGTAATGAGAAGCTTGCTCCCAGGTAATGAGAAGCTTGCTCCCAGGTAATGAGAAGCTTGCTCCCAGTAATGAGAAGCTTGCTCCCAGGTAATGAGAAGCTTGCTCCCAGGTAATGAGAAGCTTGCTCCTAGGTAATGAGAAGCTTGCTACCAGGTAATGAGAAGCTTGCTCCCAGGTAATGAGAAGCTTGCTCCCAGGTAATGAGAAGCTTGCTCCCAGGTAATGAGAAGCTTGCTCCCAGGTAATGAGAAGCTTGCTCCCAGGTAATGAGAAGCTTGCTACCAGGTAATGAGAAGCTTGCTCCCAGGTAATGAGAAGCTTGCTCCCAGGTAATGAGAAGCTTGCTCCCAGGTAATGAGAAGCTTGCTCCCAGGTAATGAGAAGCTTGCTCCCAGGTAATGAGAAGTTTGCTCCCAGGTAATGAGAAGCTTGCTACCAGGTAATGAGAAACTTGCTCCCAGGTAATAAGAAGCTTACTCCCAGGTAATGAGCTTTCTCCCAGGTAATGAGAAGCTTGCTCCCAGGTAATGAGAAGCTTGCTCCCAGGTAATGAGAAGATTGCTCCCAGGTAATGAGAAGCTTGCTCCCAGGTAATGAGAAGCTTGCTCCCAGGTAATGAGAAGCTTGCTCCCAGGTAATGAGAAGCTTGCTCCCAGGTAATGAGAAGCTTGCTCCCAGGTAATGAGAAGCTTGCTCCCAGGTAATGAGAAGCTTGCTCCCAGGTAATGAGAAGCTTGCTCCCAGGTAATGAGAAGCTTGCTCCCAGGTAATGAGAAGCTTGCTACCAGGTAATGAGAAGCTTGCTCCCAGGTAATGAGAAGCTTGCTCCCAGGTAATGAGAAGCTTGCTCCCAGGTAATGAGAAGCTTGCTCCCAGGTAATGAGAAGCTTGCTCCCAGGTAATGAGAAGTTTGCTCCCGGGTAATGAGAAGCTTGCTACCAGGTAATGAGAAACTTGCTCCCAGGTAATAAGAAGCTTACTCCCAGGTAATGAGCTTTCTCCCAGGTAATGAGAAGCTTGCTCCCAGGTAATGAGAAGCTTGCTCCCAGGTAATGAGAAGCTTGTTCCCATGTAATGAGAAGCTTGCTCCCAGATAATGAGAAGCTTGCTCCCAGGTAATGAGAAGCTTGCTCCCAGGTAATGAGAAGCTTACTCCCAAGCAATGAGAAGCTTTCTCCGAGGTAATGAGAAGCTTGCTCCCAGGTAATGAGAAGCTTGCTCCCAGTTAATGAAAAGCTTGCTACCAGGTAATGAGAAGCTTGCTCCCAGGTAATGAGAAGCTTGCTCCCAGGTAATGAGACGCTTGCTCCCAGGTAATGAGAAGCTTGCTCCCAGGTAATGAGAAGCTTGCTACCAGGTAACGAGAAGCTTGCTCCCAGGTAATGACAAGCTTACTCCCAGGTAATGAGAAGCTTGCTCCCAGGTAATGAGAAGCTTGCTACCAGGTAATGAGAATCTTGCTCCCAGGTAATGAGAAGCTTGCTCCCAGGTAATGAAAAGCTTGCTCCCAGGTAATGAGAAGCTTGCTCCCAGGTAATGAGAAGCTTGCTACCAGGTAATGAGAAGCTTGCTCCCAGGTAATGAGAAGCTTGTTCCCAGGTAATGAGAAGCTTGCTACCAGGTAATGAGAAGCTTGCTCCCAGGTAATGAGAAGCTTGCTCCCAGGTAATGAGAAGCTTGCTCCCAGGTAATGAGAAGCTTGCTACCAGGTAATGAGAAGCTTGCTCCCAGGTAATGAGAAGCTTGCTACCAGGTAATGAGAAGCTTGCTACCAGGTAATGAGAAGCTTGCTCCCAGGTAATGAGAAGCTTGCTCCCAGGTAATGAGAAGCTTGCTACCAGGTAATGAGAAGCTTGCTCCCAGGTAATGAGAAGCTTGCTACCAGGTAATGAGAAGCTTGCTCCCAGGTAATGAGAAGCTTGTTCCCAGGTAATGAGAAGCTTGCTCCCAGGTAATGAGAAGTTTGCTCCCAGGTAATTAGAAGCTTGCTCCCAGGTATGAGAAGTGTGTGGACACAAGCATCCATCCTGGCACTCACCATGTACACAATAATGCCATCCTGGCACTCACTATGCACCACAGTGTCAACCTGGCACTCACCATGCACCACAACGATGCCATCCTGGCACTTACCATGCACCACAACAATGCCATCCTGGCACTCACCATACACCACAATGATGCCATCCTGGCACTCACCATGCACCACAACGACGCCATCCTGGCACTCACCATGCACCACAACGATGCCATCCCGTGAACATTCTTCTATATAAAATTCCACTGCATGCAGTGGTATCACTGGAGAATGCCACATCCGGTCAGCTTGAAACTTTTACCACTATCGTGTCTCTACTGGAGGATCCCTCAAGGTTCCTTGATGCTGGTGAGGGTTCTTGATCTAGGGAATTGGATCTGTGCCCGAGTTCCCTAAATTAAGCCTGAATACCTTCCACATCCCTTCACAGGCGCTGTATACTCCTACGGGTTTAGCGCTCCCTTCATTATAATAATTATAATCTCCTGAAGGAAGACTCGTCACTTCAGTGGTCTTGGTGACCTCGAATTTGTTAATTGTATCAAGAAAATTTGTGGAACAACCATTATGGGTCATTCAGTAGCGACTTTACTCACAACCGAAGGATCTGGGTTCGATCCTAGGGCGGGTGGAGACGTTAAACATGTTACCTGACATTTATGGCCCTTGTTTATCTAGGTGTTTTTAACAAGTAGTTACCCCATTATTACATTATAATCATAATTAAGCGCTAAACCCATAAGGGCCATACAGCGCTGACTGGTTACGGTAGTTTGAGTCATATCATGACCAGTTAGTAACTACCTACGTCATCGTATGTAGAATAGTGACTATGTTGGGTGTAGTGCTTGTAACTTATTGATCAACAGTATACATAGCAACACTGTAAGGAATACCTAACTTATTGATCAACAGTATACATAGCAACACTGTAAGGAATACCTAACTTATTGATCAACAGTATACATAGCAACACTGTAAGGAATACCTAACTTATTGATCAACAGTATACATAGCAACACTGTAAGGAATACCTAACTTATTGATCAACAGTATACATAGCAACACTGTAAGGAATACCTAACTTATTGATCAACAGTATACATAGCAACACTGTAAGGAATACCTAACGGGGATATCCAAAAATACATGTTCATTGTATAATTTGTCGATCTAGAGCAAGTACATTAGTATGCATAGTGTGTGTGTGTGTGTGTGTGTGTGTGTGTGTGTGTGTGTGTGTGTGTGTGTGTGTGTGTGTAAGAACAACAAAGTCGGTCATCGTGAGCAGTAATAACAAAACAAGCAAGGGAGGCAGACAGATGACTTATAGAAGAGTTGTCAACACTGACAGGATGGATAATGAGAACCTTCAAAACTAGGGAGGCCAAGCCCATGATGACACTCTTCAGGTCACTTGTTCTATCTAGGCTGGAATATTGCTGCACTCTAACAGCACCTTTCAAGGCAGGTGAAATTGCCGACCTAGAAAATGTACAGAGAACTTTCACGGCGCGCATAACGGAGATAAAACACCTCAATTACTGGGAGCGCTTGAGGTTTCTAAACCTGTATTCCCTGGAACGCAGGAGGGAGAGATACATGATTATATACACCTGGAAAATCCTAGAGGGACTAGTACCGAACTTGCACACGAAAATCACTCACTACGAAAGCAAAAGACTTGGCAGACGATGCACTATCCCCCCAATGAAAAGCAGGGTGTCACTAGCACGTTAAGAGACCATACAATAAGTGTCAGGGGCCCGAGACTGTTCAACTGCCTCCCAGCACACATAAGGGGGATTACCAACAGACCCCTGGCAGTCTTCAAGCTGGCACTGGACAAGCACCTAAAGTCAGTTCCTGATCAGCCGGGCTGTGGCTCGTACGTTGGTTTGCGTGCAGCCAGCAGCAATAGCCTGGTTGATCAGGCGCTGATCCACCAGGAGGCCTGGTCACAGACCGGGCCGCGGGGGCGTTGACCCCCGAAACTCTCTCCAGGTAAACTCCAGGTAAACTGCCGGACTGGCACACAACATTGACCAAAGAGGGACCCTGGGTTCGGTACCGCTTTCCGTCCAGGGTTCGGGTTCGGTACCGCCTTCCGTCCAGGGTTCGAGTTCGGTACCGCTTTCCGTCCAGGGTTTGGGTTCGGTACTGCTTTACGTCCAGGGTTCGGGTTCGGTACCGCTTTCCGTCCAGGATTCGGGTTCGGCACCGCCTTCCGTCCAGGGTTCGGGTTCGGTACTGCCTTCCGCCCAAGGTTCGGGTTCGGTACCGCCTTCCGTCCAAGGTTTGGGTTCGGTACCGCTTTCCGTCCAGGGTTTGGGTTCGGTACTGCTTTACATCCAGGGTTCGTGTTCGTCCACCTTCTAGAAA